CATAACATAATATATGATTATCTTTGTTATAACATAGCCTAATTTATTTACTTGACAAGCAAAAATAGGTCACTTGAATTAGTTGTCTTTCTTCAATTATGCTACAAATTTTTATAATATTATTTTATACTTGCATGTGTACTATTTATTTTTATGACATGTTTTGTTCAAATTAGATCTAGATAAAATTTATGAAAATGATAAGTTGCCTGCTTATTGAATAAAATTAGACAATATACAGTATATATACTGATATCGTTGCTCTTGAATTCATACAACTTTCATTGAAACCACACTTGCACAGGTGCTGCAAGAGAGACGCCCAGTAAACATATTTCTGTGCCCAAGATAGCAATTTAAACTTCAATTATACTAAAATTAATTTAAAATTGTAATTAAAAATTATGCTACTGTATTTTCTTAATTCATTATTATTGTTTATTGACCAATAATAGTTGACTATTATATTAAACATAAAGCTCACTTATAATGTATTTAGCAATTATTCTAAGGAAAATAGTTATCATAAAATAATTAATAACATTAAGATTTTCAAATAAATTTACTATTTTTTGAATATAATTGATTACAGTATCGAGTAACCCTATTATTATTGTAATAATCAAAATACCAATCGAAAATACGCAAATATTTTTAGATGGTCTTCGGCCGAAACATATCGCGTCATCTCCACCCGGAAAACCAAATATTTATCATCTAAACTCCATGCAGTACACAATATCCATCCGTGATGACCATGAAATACAGATATGGAAACGCCTTCCCTTAAATTCCATATATTATATATATTGAAATTAAAATTTTGATAAGAAAGAATACTTTGTCATCTACATTACAAATCAAATCGATACGTAGAATAGCCATCCCATCAGAAGAAGTTTAAATTTTTACTATTCATCGGGCGCGGAAACTATAACGAAAAAGTATATGTTGATAATTATTGAAATAATTTTATTCACATAAAATCACTAAAATTATCCATTTTGTTGACATCGAGTTTGAAATTCATGAATCATGATCTTATGATTATCGGAACCGGACTCAAACAAAAAAGAATTTCCAGTTTCATCTGGTGAAAGAGAATAACTTATAAAAGGGCACATTAAATTGTATAAATGGTTAAGGAAAAAAAACAAAGATTTTTAAATATGTGAACCTAGAGGGAACCAATTAAGTTTACAGAATCAAGAATAATGTAAGTAAAAGAATCAAAGGTATGCTCTAAACAAGATCTACGTCAGAATTTTTAGAATATGAAATACCTTGGTACAGTATGCTGTATATTTCGCACATAAAGCCTATCATCCCTTATTTAGAAAATTGAGACTATAGATAGTGCGAGTTCTTTGTCTAGAAAATTTGATTATAGGTAACGTGACTGCTTCATATTTTATTTTTTTAAACTTAGACTAGAAATGAAACAGGTCAAACAGGTCGAACCCGATCTGACCCAATCCGAAATTATTACATGATCTGACCCATTCGGAACACTATTGTGTTAATAGATTTTCTATTTATCTGGTCATGAAATCCGAATAACTATTAAGTGAAATATCATTTCATTAAGCCAAGTAAGTTTATCGGCATAAACTTCATCGCATATAATAATTGTAGTTTCATATTATTAAAACACCACACCGTCAATATTGCTTGTATAATTTCTAACATCAATTTTTAGTGACAAGTCTTAGCTCGATAATAATAAACAATAAATTATAAATAACATTTAAACTTATTATTTATTCATTATATAATTTCAAAAACTATTGTAAGGCCAAATAAATTACTGTACGTATCTAAGTCGACAGATCTCACATGCATTCCGGACCTGTAAGACTACAAGAATCCCCAAACAAATCTACCCACCATTGGTTATTTTTAGATAGAAGGCCCAGAAATATAAAAAAAACAGCCACTATAAACCCACAAAAAGCAAACCAAATATGAAGAATGCCTCGAACAGTACTCGTTAAGTCTTTTTCTCTTGCGCAGTGGCTTATGAGTGCTAAAAAACTATTAAATGCCCATATGGCGCAGAATATTGTGATAAATTTACTTCGACAACCATATCCGATTGGGGGTGCATAGTAAGCTAGTGATAATGTTATCAAAGGATAAAACATTGCCACAAAAGCAGTTACAAAAACGGTGAAACGCTTATGGATTCTACGATTTTTATTTTCCCTGACTATCACATAATGATCTTTAAATATATCGTCGGGATCCTTAATTACTATATTTCCTGAAAATGCTCTTCTACAGATCGCAGGAATTGTCCAGGAAAATAATGATGGTATATATGGCCAATCCGGACAGCTGACCTTTCCTGTCGCCTTAGAAATCAATGCTAACATACCAACTACAATAAAGTAAGCTGATACCAATGATGACCATCTTTCCAGAACAGATGCCGTTGCTGTGCATTGCTCTACGCATTTTTTTATATCCGGGTCATCTGCATTCTGGATTTCGCAGGCGTTAAATCCAAAAGGTCTATATCGTAGCCTGCTACCTTTATCGGTAACAAATCTACTTGACGAGAGCCAGTAAAAGCACCGAGATTCTTTTTTACTCCCTATATTGATGGAGTAAAACAATGCCGTAAATGGACACCCAAGACATCGAAGTAACCATGTTACTTTTTCTGTAAACCTATTTGCTGGGGATTCTCCAATTATTCCTAAAGCTGGTAAGCAACCCAAAACATATTGAGGTATAGGGTCTAGTAGTTTATATATAAGCACCTTATAGTTTTCCATTGCTACGTCTTTTTAAAAGAGTGTATTTATAAAATGGTAAAAATTTAAAAATTATATACTATATATATTTTTAAATAAAAAGTCGGGTTTTTTGTAAAGTATCAGTAGCGATGAGGTTTTTGGTCTCCAGGACTGAACTTATTCGACTCCATACTCGAGCCTATTTATAATGGTTAGAGAATGCAGTGTTTTTAAAGAATGGTTGTACGTGTGAATGGTTATCTAAATAGAGTCGTTAAAGATTTGATTTGCATTGACAAAATTATAATCAAATGACAGGAACGATCCTTAATCAAATTATTATAGGATTGAATCTTATAGAACATGATTTAATTAAATATTATATAACATGATATTCACGATACTTCCAAATCAATGCCAACCGCAAATGTTATCAAATTTGAAAATAAAATCACCAGTTCGTGACTATCTAAATGCAACAGATGAAGGCGATTCACTTTGTAAGCTCTGTAATGCAAAATTTGTCAAAAAAGCTTCTACAGTAATAGTTATTCGCCATTTAATTATTGAACATTCATTCGGATATATAAAAACATCCAAAAAATCAATTTCGCAATTCATAGGTTGATACGATACTTCAAATCGATGATCAACTACCATTTAATTGATAGAAAAGAACTTATTTCGATTATGATCCACATTCGTTAGCAACCACCTTTCAACAAACTTTATTTCTTAGTATAAAAAATATATCTCAACAAAATCGCCAGAAAATCATACATGTTTT